GTTGTTTTAGTTTATGTACAGCTATCTGTAAAAGTTCTCCGCCACTTCGAGAATTCTATCCGTATTGGTTATGGCATTGCCTTCCTTCTCCGTTAATGCATACATCCTATTTTTGCCTAAGCACAAGTTTGCCTTTGAAGCTTTTAGGCTTCTGCCGCTTTTCACAGCCAGCTCAATTTTCTCCAAGTTATACCTTCTAATGTCAGCAACCTTGCGCCTATTGATTAACTTCGAGAGCTCCACTATAGCTCTGAATTGTCGCTTGCATTTGGGGCTTTCATGGTTTGTCGTCTCTTAATGAGATTTTTAGTCTCCTGAGATGGTCTGGCAGTGTCATATCTGGTGACTGCATCTCCGACTTTCATTGCACACCTTTTGATGATAATATAGTACTATAGTAAGATTAACGTTCATTGTTTCAACGCTGACGTCGCTGACGTCTGGCACACTCTTTATGAGCCTGTTTGGCGTCACGTAGAACGTGAACTTATTAGTAACTGGCAGCTGACCAAATACTCCCTCGTATACAACCTAAAGGCACCAAGTCTGCCAGTACGAGACCCTCGTTAATTAATAAGTGAAACAAGTCTATACTTAAGGGCTCGTTTTTTCGTGTTTACACAATATTAATGAGATCTAACAGACAATAATGCCAAGGAAGGTATAGGGGAAGTTATTAGGCCAATTGTAATGTAAATGAGAAGAAATACTAATAAGTTCACGTTCTACGTGACGCCAAAACACACTCGCCGCCATGGCTACTAGTGGCGCTGACTAACACTCCCACGTTTAAATTGACATAGATACCCGATAAACTGGCTGGGGGGATGGCTGCCGTGGTAGCTCAGTGGTAGAGCATCGAATGCGTTATTCGAACGTCGCAGGTTAGGATCCTGCCCACGGCAAGTTATCTTTTCAACCACTTTTCTTTCTTCTCATTTACATTACAATTGGCCTAATAACTTCCCCTATACCTTCCTTGGCATTATTGTCTGTTAGATCTCATTAATATTGTGTAAAACACGAAAAACGAGCCCTTATGTATACACTTGTTTTCCTTTATATATATATATATATATATATATATATATATATATATATATATATATATATATATATATATATATATATATATATAATTTCCTCCTTAACGTTTCATCCACTATTCTGCGCTATTAGGCTAGCCGCAGATGTAACACATGAGCTGCTGCGTCCCATAACCGCGATATCAGTTTACGGACGCTGTAGTAAAGAACCGTGCTCTTAAACGTGCGCGGACATCGAAGAGTACACGGCCCTCTAGCATTGCACCTTCTTCGCAAAGTGACCACACTGGCCGGGATGAAACCACCGACCATCGGTTCAGCAGCCGAGCACTATAACTCTACCACGATGCATGTGCTAACCACGATGAGGGTTAACACGTATGGTTAATAACCGCAGGGCCGAAAGAGAAGATTCGTCTCGTACCCGGCTATACCGCGTCGAGTCTTCCCCGATCCGAAGCACGGCCGGGCGGCGTCTTCGCCGTGCACAAAGCGTGTGCGCTTTCGCAAGCGCAATTGGATCGAGGTGACGCCGCAGAGTAAACACGCGCCTGCCAGCGAAAACAAACAGCGCGGTCAAACGCTTCGACGCGGCGCGAGAGATGCGGCACGAATACGCACCCGCGCGGAAACAACATTTCCGCCGATAGCCACACACGCTGTCCCATGTCGGCGAGTCCGCGCATGCAGCAAGCATACTCTCGCTGCCGACTGGCCTAATTAATGGGATCGTTTCGTCCGCCGCAGCTGGCAAGACGCAGGAGTACCGAGGGACAATGCCTGCCCAGCCGCCGGGTCTTCAAGCTTCGATCCGCGTTTCTCTCTCGGAACTTAACTTTTTTTTTTTTACTGCAGAAAGAGTGCTGCTTTGGTGGGCACACGCAAATTTGTCGCTGCAGTCCATAACTACGCTTTATATATATATATATATATATATATATATATATATATATATATATATATATATTATATATATATATATATATATATATATATATATATATATTATATATATATAGAGAGAGAGAGAGAGAGAGAGAGAAAACAAGTGTATATGTGTATACTTGACTCGTTTTTTTCGTGTTTTGACACAATATTAACGAGATCTAACAGACAATAATGCCAAGGAAAGTATAGGGGAAGTTATTAGACCGAGTTGTATTGTAATTGAGAAGAAAGAAAAGTGGGGGAAACGATAACTTGCCGTGGGCAGGAACCAAACCTGCCCGCGTTCGATGCTCTACGATAATATGCTCTACGTTCAATGCTCTTCGATAACGCGTTCGATGCTCTACCACTGAGCTACCACGGCTGCTATCTTCCCAGCCACTTGATTGGGTGTGTATGTGAATTTGAACGTGGGAGTGTCAGTCAGCGCCCTCAGTAGCCATGGCGGCGAGTGTGGTACATTCTTGAAGAGCCTGTGTGGCATCACGTACAGCACGTGAACTTATTACGAACTGCACTCTATTATATATATATATATATATATATATATATATATATATAATATATATAATATATATATATATATATATATATATATATATATATATATATATCTTCAGCTTCAAACACGTATTGTCTCTTTGACAGAGCGGAAAACCATAAATATAAACGCGAACCATGGCCTACATCAAATGAACGTTTCGCAGCATACCTGAATTATATGCGCACGTAACCAGCATGAAGTCCGGAAAACAGCTCTTTGTCTTTGGTTTTGGCTTGTGTTAGGAGTTCCCTTCACGAAGGCATACGCCCACCACGCATATTCCATTTACCGACGGCACTGCGCGCTGTGCCCACAGTATGCACGGATGGGAACACCGAGCCTTCATTCTGCCATTGTGCTCGACTTGACACAGAAAGACAATCACTCTCTAATGCACTAGGTCGCCTGGAAAATTAAATACTTGCCGAGCAGAAACTGCTTCACCATCGCACCCGTCACTCGAAGGGTGCACAGTATGCTCCTAAGATGCAACTGCGCTGTGTGAAATCTTTCGGCCAAGTGGTGCAATACAGCATGCGTGCAAGTAAAAACCACATTTTTCCTTCCTTCACTAACATGTTTCAATTACTGTTTTCCCTTTCTTCAGCGTTGGGCCAGTAACCGGCCACTTTTTTGGTTAATCTCGTTGCCTCGTGACTCTTTTTTTTCTTCTTTTCAGACAGTCCCTCTCCACTCTGCATGGTCGAATGGCAGGGGATGACCTTCCTGAGTGAAATTAATTCAACAGCTCTTCTCCTGTCGCTGCGTTGAGGTTTTTTAAGAACTAGTTTGGTCCCGAGAAATAGATATTGCAATAGCAGCCTTTTGGTATCAAAGCCATGCCTCTAGGTTCAATATTCGGGTTCTTTGTTTGGTCTCATTCGCCAAAGTTCCGCTTCATTGTGCTCGTGTACTTTCGGCACTGTTCGGCAGACAATGCCGCTTTGCCAAAAACGGAATTCACAACAATGCCTAGTTCCCTGGCTGGAGCGAACAATAATGCGGTATTTATGAGAACGTTGCAAATGACGGGTCGTATCTGAGGTAGGAGCTACGTTGACGAATATTTAAGCTGCAATTTCAGTGCTCATTTCGTAATTTTGTTTGTGACTCGAGATCAAACACTGTACAACGACCTAACGTGTAGCATTACTAGCGTGCTGTTACAGTGCGTATTCAAGACAGCTGAGACAAAGACCAGTGGTTTTACCAAACACACACAAAAAAGGGTTATACAAAACAGCATACGCCAGGTTTTGGGCGTACAAAGGCACTTGGGCGCGATATCTCTGTATTACACGGGGCACTGCGCTACAGGATACTTGCCACATCAGCTTAGGAATGGCGTTACACTACAGGCCACAGAAGTTCTCACGTTCCCGAATGAAAATTCCGGCACAACAGATTACACAGCTCCCGTTTACTACGTCTCGTGAAGCTACGGCAGAGGATGAGCATCGATCGAATGCCACCATTAGGAATAATTGTGCCCATTTAACGAACTCTGCGAAGTCGACTTCAATCGTCTGAAACAGAAAATCAGAATAATACTGGCAAAACCAACCAGTTCGAACAAAGCCTCACCTTTGATTGGCATGTGACTGGTACATTCGTGGAAATGTTTACACATGTAGCCCCACCTGCGTTTATACGCTTCATAAAAAATTGTGATCCGGTATACTTACCTGTAAACTTATGATAACCTGTGCAGTTATGGTGGCGTATGAACTTCACCCCGGGCGCATGTTTCATATCGACGATTGTCTACTTCCAAGTGTTGGGCACCCTTCAGTCGGAACATGTTTCGATACTCAGGGCGAGGCTGGTGCTGGATTCCAGGTGACGATAGACCTGCTGAGCTTAGATCTGCTAGATACCCTACGTATCTATTCATGAAGCCTAGATAAATCAATCGCGTCGCCATAGTCCATGCACGAGCCACGAGACACCCCATATACAAATTTTTTTGTACATCATTAGTCCATATAATCCAACTGTCTGTCGTTTCCTGCGGAAAAATAATCCCATCCCCACAGTCGCTGGTGCGTCATAATAATGTGGTACACGATATAAATAAAATAAGTCCATCTTTATTTTTGGAATGAATTTTAAGATGCCTCAAAACGGTTAATTGGCCAAGTTGGTGTGCTTCCAATTTGAACGAACAAAAGCGACAGAAAACGACGACGAGATATTTTAAGATGCTGCTTTCCACCGGAACGTCAACCAAGGCCGACGTGACTTCTAGAATAGAAAAGCCAGTGACAAGTGCTCGGGAGTCTTGCAGTGGAAAGTGGATCACAACGCACACCTTTGGGCTTCTTATAAGGTCAGAGACAAAAAAAAAAAACAAGCATAACACGTCTTCACATGCTTGTGACGAATGATTGCTTGGAGCCCCTTAAATAACTAAGTGCCCAGCTTGTTACCACTTCCTAACTTTTTTTCTTTTTTTCTCGCAGGCAGCCTACCCAGAACACTGCAGCTTCATCGTTCTTTTTTGAGTAAGACGAGCGCAATCGAAGAAGTAAGTGGATTCCTCAGCGACATTCCTTGTTTCTTTGGAGACTCTCTTCTAGAGGATACAACACAGCGGCAGCTCTTCTTCGGTCACTCAACCGAAGAGGTAAAAAAAAAACAGCGGAAGATGGACAAAGGGAAACAACCAAGAGTTGTCCATTAACGTGCAGTCCTCAAGTATGGCTGCGGTACACGACATCATGCCTGTACACGTGTATCTGCAAGCTAGGACCAAGAGAAGCGATTTGGGAACCTTACTTTTGTGCTTGCCAGTGACAAATGGTTCCAAAAGCACAGTCGAGTTGAGTTAACATATCGAGACGCAACACGCTTGCACACTGCGGGCGGTTTCTTCAGAAGGGATTTAGTATCAGTGGCGACCCGGTTGCCCACGCACCTCCACTGGAACAGTGCAACTAAATATGACGTTTGGTCTGCTTAATGGCTTATTTACCCTGGGTGTGCCGTATGCGACAACAGTGAATACAACCTGCGTCGAGCTATCGGAGCTCAAAAGGGACGCAGCCACATGGGTGGGGGAAACGAAGCCGACCCGAGGTGCAGAAGAAGAGCCGTTTCGCTCAGAGCTCAACGTACCGCCCCAAAAAGAAGAACTTCCTTGTGGCACGATGCCTCAACTGCTTGTTCATTAGTCTTGATTCTAACGTGCACTCCGCTGTGGCTGCCGCATTCGTGCACAATTACTTGAGCGTGCGAGGCAGCAGGCTGGGTCACGGCCGACGGTCGTGAAAGAGTATACTGCTGGTCGGGCGAGCTGAAACCTTCGCAGACAGCGGTGACAAACTTCGGTCATTAATAACGGTAACCAAAGTTTTGTGCCACTTCTGACTCCCGTGGTATAAACCGAAAAAAAAACTAGCGCGACGGCTCACATTTTAGGCGCAATGCGTCGACCGACACGAACCGCCGGGATTCGCTCGCAGGATTTCAAGCTGGACGGTTGTGCCCTCGCGATCTCCGACTTCAGCGTAGCTCCCGCCGACTGGTTCGCCCTCCGCGGTCTCCTGACGCCGTGTAGCTCTCGCATTGTGGCACCCCGCCCTTGGACTGCTTCGACCGGATCCCCACTTTCCTATCTCCTTCTTTTTTCCTCTCGTTGGCTGTCTTCTTCTGCTTCTACTTTCCTTCTATTCTTTTTATCCCTCCTTCTCCCCACCCCTATAAGGCACTGCGCCGTGTCGCCTGAAGGCAGACAGAAATTAGGTGCCTTTTTCCTCTTCGCTCTCTCCTTTCTCTTTCCTCTCTTCGCTCAAGTCTATTATCCCCCATTCCCCTTCCCATGTGAACCACTGCTGAGGTGTCGCACTTAGCTGCAGACAGTTGCGGGGTTCACTTTTCTTTTCTTTCCAATTTTCAGAACCACTTCCCCCCCCCCCCCCCCCGAACCGCCGCTTGTCGGAGTAAAAATATCCCCCTTGCATCGAGGGTGCTGCTCGAGGCGAAATGAAAAATTGAACATAAAGAATAACTCGTATATGAGCATTCTTTCGGCACACGGGAACGCAAGCATGGTCATTGCGAGCCAACGCGGCTGGTCTTAGCCGCGCCTGACGCGCCGTCTGCGTGCCTTCCATGGACGCCCAACGAGTAGCTTCCCAAGCGGAAGCGCGCACTCCTTATCTTTCTCAGTAGCTTGACGCGATTCCTATAGTTCTTCGGCGGAATTTTCTAAAACAATACGTGGACGCCCCTGGAATCGAGCAGTACGAAACAATGAAACTAAACAAAAGAAGGAAAGAAAAAAAAAGAAAGAAAGAAAGAAAGAAAGAAGGAAAGAAATGAAGAAAGAAAGAACGGAAGGAAGGGAGGAAGGAAGGAAGAAAGAAAGAAAGAAAGAAAGAAAGGAAGGAAGAAAGGAAGGAAGGAAGGAAGGAAGGAAGGAAGGAAGGAAGGAAGGAAGGAAGGAAGGAAGGAAGGAAGGAAGGACAATGTAAGAGGTACCTCTTACACCGTGGAAGGAAGGAAGGAAAGAAGAGTCACATACATGACGATGTTTGCTCTTTTTTTTCATCTTTCTTTTTCTTTGTATATTGTATCTTCTCTCGCCCATCACACTCACTGAATCCCCCGCAGGGCCGATCGGCGCACCTTTTGTGGAAGCGAAGCAGAGGAGAAGGAAGAGGAAGATAATGAAGAAGAAGACGAAGTTAGCCGGTTCACGATGAGCATTTTTTATCTACCACAAACAGCCCACATCGACCTTACCAGCTGTACTCAAAACATTTCTTCAAATACTGCCGACAGTAGTCTAAGGAGGAAAGGATGTACTGTTGTGCCACAGACATGTTCCTCGTTCGGGAGCACGTCTCACGATATGGAGCCCTGTTCCGATGAACTGTCTCCCCCCCTCCCAGCGCCGCCTTCCGTGCAGAAGAACCGTGCAGTTCCGGGGATAACGTCACTTCCTCCGCCGAACCACTTTGCAGTTCCGGGTACGGCTGCGTCTACTCCGCCGAGCCACTGTGCCGTTCCGGGGAACTGGTCTCGCAGAAGAGTCCCAAAACGCTATTTAAGACCGTGCCGGCCCCATGTTAGAAGATTTTGCCCCAGCCGACGTTGTCGTGCTGGCCGGCTCTGTACAAACGACAACCTGCTACAGTAAACGCTACTTTTGTTGCTGTTTTCAAAACAGATTGCCTCCCTGCTTCGCCTTCGGGCTAAGGCTTCAGCGAAGTCCGCTCGACGGCTCGCCGCTCTTCGCCACCGTTACCATCGCGACAGAGCAAATTCATAACAGTGGTTGGCAGCTTCGGGATACGATATCCTACGTTTGGCACGCCGGATCAGACCCCTGGAAGCTCGAGCACGACCGACCTGATATTGGCATTTGAATACGCTGGTATACGCTACCCTGTTCTCATCGTTCGGCAAGCTGGGACAAGCAACCCCGAATCTCAACATTGGCAAGTTGGACCGGATCCCTGAAGGCCTGATACTGTTTGAAGGCAGCCACGAGTTGGACCATCGTCGGCTACTTTGGTTGGGTGAGTGCCCAACGTTTACTGTTCATTTCGCCAGACCTCTCTAGCACAGGCAGATGTTAGGAGAGCGTTTTGTGTTTTGTTGGTTGTAATTTATTATTCACGTGCCCTAGACCATGAGATTAGCTTTAGAGTACGGTGAATATCAATAGCAGAGCATCACGAGAAACGAGATCGCGATGGAGCAGTACCTTGTGGAGGACCTCCTCGAAATTTGTGGAGCCATGGGGATTTCCACCGGGTCCGCTAAAACAAGGGAAGCGATTCTCGAGGTGATGCGGGCAGAGAATGTGACGGCCGAGGAAGCTGACGAGTTTTGGCAGCTCATCTGTGAAGAAAAGCAGAAGGCCGAAGAGCGAGAGGATAGAAGCCATGAACAATGGAAGGCCGAGAAAAGCCGTGAAGAGCTCGAAGCTCAAAGGCACGAACAATGGAAGGCCGAGGAGTGTCGAAAAAGGAGAGAGCATGCCTTAGAATGAAAGAGGTTGATATTAAAATTCAAGCACTTAAATGGGATCGAGCTAAACACCAGCTCCACAACTTTCAGACAGGCAAGAACATCGCGCATTTTCTTGAGGATTTTGAAGTTGTCTGCTGTAATGTTGGTGTTAGCCGCGACCTTTGGGGGGAGAAGTTCGCCACGTTGTTGCCGCGCAAGATCGCGCATGTATTGAATTATTTGCCCTCCGAGGAAGCAGGAGATTTTAGTCAGGCTAGGTATGCTTTGATTAAATATTTTTTTTCATTTCAAGTCCTGCTGGAGGCCAGAGCGATAGTAACAGCGCTGAAGCAGGTGGTAAGGCGCTAAAGGTAGACGCCCGCCGAAAAGAGCGAGAGGACGAGGCGCGCCGTAAAGCGCTGGAGGACGACGCGCGCAGTAAAGCGACGGAGGCCCGTCGCGCAGCGCTTCAGGACGAGGAAAGTCGCGAGGCATCTGACGTTGAGGCCCGTCACAAGGTGCAAGACACCGAAGTGCGTCAGAGAGATCTGGGCACTGAGGAGCCTCACGAAGAGTTAGGGGCGGAGGCCCATCGGAAACCTCGGGACGCAGAGGCGCATCGTAAAGCGCTAGAGATGGAGCCGCTGCGCAGCGCACGCGATCAGGATGAATCACGTCAAAGTGAGCATGAGGCCGACTACGAAGGCCTGAAAACAAGGGCTATCGACGACAGCGATAGACACCCCATCGATCGAAAGCTCTGTAAGCGCGCTTGTTGGCTTCAAAGTCATCGGGACTCCCTTTCTGTCACAGACAGAGACAGCTAGAACGGGCTCGAGCGATCGCTAGCTAACAAATCGGGAGCTTCGACTCCACACAAAGAAGCCAGCACACTTATGGGTAAGTGTGTCGAGACTGCCAGTATTGTGAGAAGTTCGAACAGAAAGAGGCGTCGGCGTAAGCGTAAAGCGGTAAAGACGACTGGCGCCAAGCGCGCTAAAGCCGCTGTTAAGTGCCGTGGCGTTATCAGTCGAGACGCCAGGCTTAAGGCTAGGCGCAGGATCGCGAAAGGGTCCTCAGCGAAATGTTTGCATCTCAGACCATCACTGAGATTGAGATCAGGCGGGAAGTCCGTCAAGAAAAACCGAGTTTCAGGGAAATTCGGACGCCGAGATAATCGCCTGGTCTCATCTTTTTCGATGCAGCGTAGAATCAATCACGTGGAGGAGCATCGCGTACGCCTGAGCTGTAACAAAGGCTGTCATTCCCCACCGTGGCAAGCAGGTCACTGGTCGAACCGGAGGGGTAAACGACGCAGTGCAGATGCCCCTTTCTTCGAGTTAAGTGGGTGTACGTCAAAAGTCGGTGCCAAGTTCGGCGAACAAGTTGGTTCGTCGTCCCACTGTCCAGACCGCAACCCTCGAAAGCTGTGGAGTGCGCGACTCCCCAGAGTTCGTCTGAGAGAGTGCTGCCTTGCCAATACCAAGAGTGTACTTTGTGTTTAGTTTTGAGAATAACTTTTTCTATTTTTGTCGTCTGCCAATGAGCAAGGAATGAGTCTAAATTTTTGTAAGTTTTACTTTCCTTGTCATCGGAGAAGCAGATATTCATATGTTTGTTTGATTAATTTTGTTTTCATAATATTTCGAAAGCTAACAGTTAGTGTGTTATATTTTAACAGAAAAGGCATACTAAAAGCCCCTGTTTAAATTACCTTTTGTGTTTGACATTACATTTATTATGCGCGTCAGTGTAGGTGAACTTTGCCCTTTGTTTTGTTTAACGTGCGCAAGTTTGATTTTTCATTGTTATTTTCTTAGTTTTTTCAAGCGTGCTTACTCTTGTCGTGATGATCGTTGGCGGCGCGCATTGAATGATTGCTTGTAGGATGACAAACTTGGTTATGTTTAACAGTCTGACGCTTGCAAGCGACGCCAATGTGCGTGATTCAGAATTGCTTGGTATTCTAAATTGTAGTTCGGGGCCAAATTGAGTTAAACTCAGCAGCTTCGATCGTCCATAATCTGCCTAAATCATGACTGAGAATCGCTCAAAAAACTCTGTTTGGTTCAACAGTGTCATGCACTGATACTTGGCTAAAGGTGTGTCCACATTATGTATTGCTCCTCAGATGCATTGCTCGTGATGCTATTTTTTTTTTTAGCTGAGCTAAATCTCGAGGAAATATTTTCGTTTCTGCTGGTCTGGCGATTTGATCAGCATTTGGAGGGTGCTTGCTTTGGCCAGAGTGGTTCGGCTTTGTGTTCGACTCCGTCGTTCCAGTGAACCTCTGCAGGCCTATGGAAGTCTCAACGAGCGGAGAAAGCGGAACGGCTACCGACGGTCAACCAGCATCCCTCCTTCCGAGCCGCGCTGACGGCTCGAAACTCCGGATGCATTGTCTGGCGGCGGGGGTGCTGTTGTGCCACAGA